AAAAAAAATTAAATCCCAGTATCTTTCCCGCCATTTGTAAACGCTATAACTTTCACGTAAACCAATTAATTTACACGTATTTTTTTTTTTTTTTTTTAGCAAAGACATGTCGCAGAATGCATTTTGGCAAAAATTTATGACTAAATTTGATTTTTAATTTTTTTTTTACTGGACATGTTTTATAATAAAAAGTCCAAAATATTGTTTTTTTTCCTCAAAATTGTCAGCCTTTTTTTTTATAGCGCAAAAAATAAAAACTGCACAGGCGATCAAATACCACCGAAAGAAAGCTCAATTTGTGGGAAAAAAAGGGATGTAAATTTCAAATTTTATTGCATGACCGCACAATTGTCCGTTAAACTAGTGCAGCGCTGTATACCAAAAAAAATGGCGTAAATTGCAGTATCTATACCATAGTTTGTAGACGCTATAACTTTCACACAAAGCAATCAATATACACTTATTGGGATTTTTTTTACCAAAAACATGGAGCAGAATACATTTTGGCCTAAAGTTATAACCAACTTTGTGTTTACTATATATTTTTTATAGCTGAAAGTAAAAAATATTGTTTTTCTTCAAAATTTTTGGCCTTTCTTTGTTTATAGCGTGAAAAATAAAAAGCGCACAGGTGATCAAATACCACCAAAAGAAAGCTCTATTTGTGTGAAAAAAAGGACGTAAATTTTGTTTGGATGCAGCATTGCATGACCGCGCAATTATCAGTTGAATTAGTGCAGTGTCGAGTAGCAAAAAGAGGCCTGGTCATTAAGGGGGGTAAATCCTCTGGAGGTCAAGTGGTTTAAAGCACCTTAAGCTCCCCCCCCCCCCCCCCCCCCCCATGTTCATTGATGGACACAGCCTTTCTTGAGACAGATGGATTTGATATTGCCACCTACAGGAGCCAGATTCTAGGTGCAATTAAACTAAAAGCACATCCTGGGGGCTGTCCCTCTCGGGGGGTGATCAAACCCTGCATCTGCAGCAAGGAGATCACTTTTTTTTCTAGCATCCTTTCAGGAGCAGGACACACTATTTTTTCTCTTGTTTTTCTATTTCTCCTTTGGAATTTTTTATTCCAGTCAGCAAAGACTTTTCTTCAATCAACTATTGGGCGACAGACTGGGTATCATAGATTCAGGTAGTCTCCCCAGCAGTGCCATTGAGCGCATGCAGACCCCAATATAATGGGATTGGCTGCAACATCTCTGCCTTGCACAGAGTGGGCAAAAAGAGTATGACCCCCTGTGGCAGATGCATACGAGGCTTGGACTGGGCTCTTTCATTGCAACACCACATATTGGCCGACAAGACCCAGATCAATAAAGAGTCAGAGACATTTTGTCTCACCACCTGGATACACTTAACTGGAGCACTACAAGTCCCAGGTTTGACTCCCTTTGGACTCCATTATCATGTTGGGATTGGATGCATCTCTTCTCCTCACGAGGACTAGTTGCACAGAGGATCACTCCCTCCATTCTAGGCAGATCCCTACTCAGCCCAAGAGTGGCAGCAGTCTTCAAGTCTCCTTGCCTGTCTCCACCTGCAGTGTGCTAGACAGCTCCCTCTGCAATCAGGTGCCCATACTAGGTATGGTGAGTGTATCCCTAAGGTAGGAAAGGGCCCATTCCCTATCTGCAGCTCCCACTATGGCTGAGACATTGTGGGCTGTAAGAAAAAGGCACCCAAGGTCCCCAAAGCCAGGGATCCTCCTACTACTTATACCTCCTGTGGTGCAGAGTGTACTTTTTCCTCAGATTAAGCACACTGCCTAACCTGCCAGACTCCCCCAGTCTTAGAGGCCTCTGCTCCCTCTTCAGATAAATGTCAGGTGATATCGGGGTCCTCGGGGGGGCCCTTAACCCTTGACTCCTTTTCCTCCATAATGGAAGAATTTGTTTTGCATATGGAGCAGGCTCTGCTATGCAAATCTGCCACCAAGTATCCACTTCCTTCATCATCTGCATCCAGTGATTCGGATGCTGATCAGTCTCCTTCCCAGAATCCGGGAACTCTTGAGGTGGACACCTTCCCTCTTCCTTCTGATGAGGAAGAACTGCCAGCAGCATAACTGGCATGTGAGAAGGAGTTGGTCTCATATCTTATTATGGCGGTCAGAGAAACTTTAAAGATTTCTTTTTCCAGGCATCAGATTCTCGGGTTTCCTATGGGACTCACAGATGCAAAAAGTCTTCCAAAGTTTTTCCACAGGACCCCTTTTTTGACAATTTTATCTCCAAGTCTTGGCCAGGTCCGACTAAGTCATTCATGCTACCTACCTGTTATTCTGCACAATAAGCCCTTCATCTCCATCCTTCAATGGTGTGTGACCTGCACATCAGCCCCTTTTGCTCCATCCTCCAACCGTATGTGACCAGTACATTAACCCCTTTGTCTCCATCCTCCCTCTGTATGTGTCTTGTACATTAGCCAAGATCCAGGTTTTACCCCCTTCCCCCAATGCTAGCATTTCCAAAAAATTGTGGTAAAATATGAGGTCACCCTGTGATGGGAGTTACACTGTCCTGGTATTTTTACTTTAATGAAAGTTAGGGAAGTTTTTTTCCCAAAAAATGTGCAGTCTTTTTTCTTTGATATACCGTATTTGCCGGCGTATAAGACGACTTTTTACCCCTTGAAAATCTTCTCAAAAGTCGGGGGTCGTCTTATACGCCGGTATACGGCATACTGACACTTTTTAGGGGGGCGGCGGGTTTGCCGCCGCCGCCCCCCCCCTTCCCCCAATGGAAGGGACACTAAGTACAGGGGTGGGCAGCGGCTGTTTCTTACCTGGTTCCGGTCCCACGACGATCCGGTCCAGGAAGCACGGCTGCGCCTTCAGTTCGGCCACTGGATGTTCGTGCGGCTGCTCGGCTCCGCCTCCTCACCAGTGATTGGCCGCCAGAACTGTAGCTCAGGAAAGGCACACAGGCGGCCAATCACCGGCGAGGGGGTGGAGCCGAGCGGCCCCGCGAAAATCGAGTGCAGGACCAGCAGGTAAGTGGTCAGTGTAGAGGTGCTGCTGCAACCACATATGCTGGCTGCAGCAGCACCATACGAGAACAGGGTCAGCAAGTGTCAGTGGGAGGAATAGTGCCCCATCATTGGTGTCACTGATACCAATGATGGAGCACTATTCCTCCCACTGATACCAATGATGGGGCACTATTCCTCCCACTGACACCAACGATGGGGCACTATTCCTCCCACTGACACCAATGATGGGGCACTATTCCTCCCCCCCACTGACACCAATGATGGGGCACTATTCCTCCCCCCCACTGACATCAACGATGGGGCACTATTCCCCCCCCCACTGACACCAACGATGGGGCACTATTCCACCCCCCACTGACACCAACGATGGGGCACTATTCCACCCCCCACTGACACCAATGTTGGGACACCATTCCTCCCACTGACACCAATGATGGGGCACTATTCCCCCCACTGATACCAATGATGGGGCACTATTCCCCCCACTGATACTAATGATGGGGCACTATTCCCCCCACTGACACCAATGATGGGGCACTATTCCCCCCACTGATACTAATGATGGGGCACTATTCCTCCCACTGACACCAATAATGGGGCACTATTCCTGCCACTGATACCAATGATGGGGCACTATTCCCCCCACTGATACTAATGATGGGGCACTATTCCTCCCACTGACACCAATGATGGGGCACTATTCCTCCCACTGATACTAATGATGGGGCACTATTCCTGCCACTAATGCCAATGATGGGGCACTATTCCTGTCACTGATACCAATGATGGGGCACTATTCCTGCCACTGATACCAATGATGGGGCACTATTCCCCCCACTGATACCAATGATGGGGCACTATTCCTGCCACTGATACCAATGATGGGGCACTATTCCTGCCACTGGTGTGCATTGGAAGAGGGGTAGTCTTATACGGCGAGTATAGCCCAAACACTAAATTTTAGCAGGAAAAGTAGGGGGGTCGTCTTATACGCCCAGTCGTCTTATACGCTGGCAAATACGGTAGTAAAAAACAAAAGCCAAGAGGTTATTAAAGTGATTCTAAAGGCTTTTTAAAAATTAAAATAAAAGCAGATGTTATACTTACCTGCTGTTTGGTTTTCCAAATAGCAGTCCCTTACCTCCTCTTCAGGAGTATCTACCAGCAATGGCTGTTTCTGATTTCCTGTGGTTACCCCCCTCAGCAAGCCGTGTGCTGAAGGTGCACCTGTACGGGCACACTCCCAAGGTAGTCTGTGTATGTCCATAGACACACACAGCATGGCTCAGTCATGCTCTCTGCTCCCTCTTCACATGATTTGACTGGCAGAGGCAGAAACCAAATAGCTCCTGCTGCTATCAGAGTCTCCTGTGAGACTAGGAAGAGGGAGCAACAGTGCTGTAGATAGGACAGTACTGGATCGAGAGAGGAGACAGGTAAGTGTTTAGGGATGGAGGGGAACCAGTACTGGAGAGTTTTTTTTTTTACCTTAATGGGAAAATGCATTAAGATAAAAAACTATTTGACTTTAGAACCACTTTAAATAATACTAACAGAAAGCTATCTGTCTCAAAAATGAATTTGGTTACATTGTTGAATGACAGAGTCACTGTCAAAGAATCAAAGCACAGAAAACTGCAAAATATCTACTGCTGGATGCTTGTGAGCTGCAGTGTCTGATATGTGAGACACGAAGGAGGATTTGGCTCAGCCAAGGGCGTAAATGAAGTTTTTGTTTACTTTATGAGGTTTGTGTATGGGATAGTACCTGGATTTGGTCCTATAGATGTATTCATTCCACAGACAACTTGCAAACAAAATATTTAATTGTGCTGTGTCTGAACATGGCTCAATAAAATGACAAAATTAATATTTTACATCCCGGTAAGAAAATAGCAATCTTTCCATAAACAAGATATTTACAAAATTTAGGATTAGTAAACCCATCACATGTAGTACATTAGATCGGACGTGTCAGTGAGGTATAGTTGTGTCATTCTTCATAGGGAGGAGCCCTCTGGCAGTGAGACGGAGAAGTGCATCGAGACCGGAACGTGATCTGACAGTCCGGCCAATTGTGTGATAAACTGGAACTTGTTCACAGCCTTGAAAAGGAAAGTAAAACAATGAGGAATGGTGAGGAGTGTGGAGACAGGGAAACAGATCTTACAAAATAATTATCAACTCCCCACTGTTCATAACAAAAACAGGGTAAAGTACGGATATACTGTATATATGAAAATAAAGATGCTGTTTCTCATGTTAAAGCTCTGTGAATTGAGCCCTCTATGCACTACTTTGGTATCTTATTAATAACAAAGTGACTACAATGGGTTAGATTGGACAGCCCTGTACAATCTTCATAGAACAGAACAGCTCTATAGGGTATACATAGGATAGGACTGCCCTAAGCAACCCCCAAAAGTCAGGACAGTCCTATACAACCCCCATAGGTCAGGACAGTCCTATACAACCTCCATAGGTCAGGACAGCCCTATAAAACCTTCATAGGTCAGGACAGCCCTATAAAACCTCCATAGGTCAGGACAGTCCTATACAACCTCCATAGGTCAGGACAGCCCTATAAAACCTCCATAGGTCAGGACAGCCCTATAAAACCTCCATAGGTCAGGACAGTCCTATACAACCTCCATAGGTCAGGACAGCCCTATAAAATCTCCATAGGTCAGAAGAGCCCAATCTCCATATGATAGGACAGCCTTATGTAATCTCCATAGGATTGGACATCCATTTACAATCTCTATGGGATAGAACAGCTCTATACAGTGTTCATACAACCTCCATAGGTCAGGACAGCTCTATACAATCCCCAGAAGTGAGACCATCCCTATACAATCTCCATAAGATATGACAGCCCTATACAAACTCCATAGGATTGGACAGCCCTAAAAAATCTACTTAGGTCAGAACAGCCCAACAAAACCTGCATAAGATAGGACAGCCTTATACAATCTCCATAGGACAGGATAGACCTATACAATCTCCATAGGTCAGGACAGCCCTATACAATCTGCATAGGTCAGGACAGCCCTATACAATTTCCACAGATTAGAACAGTCCTATACAATCTCCACAGGTCAGTACAGCCCTAAACAATCTCCATAGGTCAGGACAGCCCTATACAATCTCCATAGGTCAGGACAGCCTTATACAATCTCCACAGGTCAGGACAGCCCTATACAATCTCCATAGGTCAGGGCAGCCCTGTACAATCCCCATCGGTCAGGACAGCCCTATACAATCCCCACAGGTCAGGACAGCCCTATACAATCTCCACAGGTCAGTACAGCCCTATACAATCTCCATAGGTCAGGATAGCCTTATACAATCTCCACAGGTCAGGACAGCCCTAACAATCTCCCACCCTAAACAATCCCCACAAGGTCAGGACAGCCGTAAACAATCTCCACAGATCAGAACGGTCCTATACAATCTCCATAGATAGGATGGACCTATACAATCTCCATAGGATAGGATAGACCTATACAATCTCCATAGGAATATTCATCGCACCTACGACCCCTCCCGCTAGACGAACCACCGTACCCACTGAAGACATGCCACAGCACCCCACAGTCGCCAGCTTACTGCACCCACAGACTGCTGCCAACCAGCTGCCGCCCTCCACCCTCACTCTACCCCTACAGAAGGACTCAAATGACTCTCCACGGTGATACAGATTCCCCACACCACCTTGCCCTGACCTGTATCCCTTCACCTCCCCTGACCCAACCGTCACTCCACCCACCCCAACATGCCACCTGCACTCCTCCTCCTCGTTTTCCTCTCCACCATCCCAAAAATCACCTCCCTCTACCCGCCTATCCCCCCAAAACAGCTCTACATTGCCCCTTCACTTCTCCCCTCTCCCACTAAGGCACTCACCACCTCCTCCTGCTACTCCACTCCCCCATCGACCCACGTGCCACCACTATCAAGACCCACACGCTCCTGCACTTCCCATCCCCATGCCACCCCCTCCACCTCACCCTTCTCCTTCTCCTATCCGCTGGGACATCTCCCCGAACCCTGGCCCCTCACCACCTCACCCCCCCTCTAGGGACCCCCCGCTCCCGCCCAGCTGCCGTAACCCCCCCCTCAACCTCATACCTGTCCCCTTCTTCCCGCATCCATCCCCCCTCTCTCGTTGCACTCCTGAACGCCCGCTCGGTCCTGCAACACAAGCTTACCGCCATCCATGACCTCTTTATCTCTCCCACTCCCTTAACCTCCTAGCCATCACCGAAACCTGGGTACAGGCCACTGACCTCCACCTCCCCTGCGGCACTCTCCTATGGAGGTCTAGTCTGGTCCCATTCATCAAGACTGAGCGGTCACAAAGGTGGTGGTGTCCGGCCTGCTCCTATCACCGCTGAGCACCTTCCAGGTCCTCCCTAACCCCTCCCTCCCTAACCTTCTCCCTCCTTCGAGGCTCACTGTAATCCTGGCTCTTCAACCCCCACCCCCCCTAAGGATCACAGTGATCTACAGCCTCCCGGATCCATACCCCCCGCTTCCTGGATGACTTCGCCGCCCTGGCTTTCCCCTTCTTCCTCTCCTCTGAGCTACCGACCATCATCCTTGGGGACTTCAATATCCCCATTCAACTACAACACAGCCCGGCTACTTCCCAACTCCTCCACGTAACCTCCTCCTTCGCGCTCACACAGCACACTCAATCCTCCACCCACATCATTGGGAACACCCTGGACTTCGTCTTCTCCCACCTCTGTACCCTCAACCATTTCACTAATACCCCCTTCCCTCTCTCCGACCACCACCTCCTCACGTTCTCCATCTCCCCTTCCCCTAACTCTCCCCCCCCCCCCAGAGCCGCCAAATCATTACCAGCCGCAACCCTCCGCAACCTGAACCCGCCCCCCACCACTCAGCTGCCGACCGCCTACACGACAGCATCCTTCCACTGTCATGTCCTGACCTAGCCACTACCAGTACGTACAACGACTCACTATCAGCTACCCTAGACTCTCTGGCACCCCTAACCACACAGCAACGCTACATCAAACCCAGACCGCTCCAACCATGGCAGAACGACCACACTAAATGCCTCAAACGCCGCAGTCACGGCGCTAGAGAGACTATGGCGCAAACCTGGTCCCCCCGTTCATTCTCCCTCTACAAATCTTCCTTCCTCACTTACACCTCCTCCCTCCACGCCGCCAAGCAGGCTTACTTTCGTAAACCTGATCAACACCCTCTCCTCCTGCCCTCGCCGACTCTTTTTATCCACCTTCAACTCCCTACTCTCTCCTCCCCCCCCTCCTCCACTCAGTACCTCACTCACCCACGCCCGCAAAATTGCCACTCATTTCCACAACAAGATTGATGCAATCCGTCAGGACATAGTCAACTCGCAATCTACCTCCCCACCTAGCCTCCCCCCCCCCCATATCCCCCATCTCTTCCTTCCTCTGACCTCGCAACTGAACTGCCCCCCCTCCACACCCAAGACCCCCCCCCCGCTTACCGTAACCCCCCCAGCTCTGCACTCCTTCAGCCCAGCTACCACTGAGGAAGTCACCAGGGTCTTCTCAGAAGCCCGCCTCACTACCTGCCCCCTGGACCCTTTCCCCTCTCGACTCCTCCGGTCACCCCCCTCTTCCCTCATCTGCTCCCTCACCCACATCTTTCAATCTCTCCCTCTCTACCGGCGTATTCCCCTCCCTCCTAAAGCATGTGCACATCACCCCCATACTCAAAAAGCCCTCCTTGGACCCCTCTGACCCAAACAACCTCAGACCCATCTCCCTGCTGCCACTCACTTCCAAACTCCTGGAGCGCTTAGTCTACGACCGCCTAAGCGCCCACCACACTAACTGACAACAACCTCCTTGATCCACTACAGTCCGGCTTCCGTCCCCTACACTCCACCGAAACCCCGCCCTCCTCAAAATCACCAACGACCTACTAACCGCCAAAGCCAAAGGCGATTACTCTGTCCTCCTCCTCCTGGACCTCTCCGCGGCCTTCGACACAGTTGACCACCCCCTCCTCCTTAATAAACTCTCCCCTTGGCATCAGAACACACCGCTCTCCCCCTGGTTCTCCTCTTACCTATCCCCGACGCTCCTTAAGCCACTTTCCTACAATGGTGCCACCTCCCCCTTCCCTCCCCCTCTCTGTTGGGTCCCCCCAGGGCTCTGTCCTTGGACCCCTTCTCTTCTCCATCTACACCTCCTCCCTTGGCAAACTCATACACTCCCACGGCTTCAACTACCACCTCTACGCTGATGACACTCAAATTTTACCTCTCCACCCCCCCACCTCAACCCCACTTTCCCTCCGCCCGCTTCACTCACCTTCTAAACGACATCTCTGACTGGATGTCGCTCCCATTTCCTCAAGCTTAACCTCTCCAAAACCGAGCTTCTCGTCTTCCCCCCTGCCCGCGCCCCCCCCCCCCCATCCTATCCATCACTACTAACATCACCACCATCAATCCCGCCCCGCAAGCCAAAGTCCTTGGAGTCATTCTGGACTCTAACCTCTCCTTCCAACCTCATGTCAAATCACTTACAAACACATGCAGGCTCCACCTCTGCAATATTGCCAAAATACGCTCCTTCCTTACCCCAGACACCACTAAACTACTCGTACACTCCCTCATCATCTCACGTCTGGACTACTGCAACTCCCTCCTCACAGGCCTACCCCAGTGCAGGCTCTCCCCGCTTCAGACCATCCTGAACTCAGCGGGCTAGACTCATCCACCTCACCAACCGCTCCACCTCTGCCACTCCCCTCTGCCTATCCCTCCACTGGCTCCCTATCGCCCAAAAACGCATCAAATTCAAACTACTCACTCTGACCTACAAAGCCGTTCACAACACTGCCCCTAACTACCTAACCAACCTGATTCCCAAGTACCACCCTACCCGTTACCCTTCGCTCTTCACAGGACCCTCCTTATATCTTGCTCCCGGTCTCCTCCTCACACGCAGCGTCTGCAAGACTTCTCCAGGTCCTCCCCCATCCTCTGGAACTCACTACCCCAATCCATCAGACTGTCACCTTCCCTCCTCACCTTCAGGCACTCCCTGAAAACCCACCTCTTCAGGGAAGCCTATCCCACCCTCACCTAACTGCTGCTCACCTTCATTACTCCTACCACTCCATCCCCCACAGCCACTTCCTCCTGTACCACTACCCCCCCCCTCCTAGATTGTAAGCTCGAAAGAGTAGGGCCCTATAACCCCTCGTATGCTGTTTGTAGTTGCTGTAATGTTTCATGTATTGTCCCCCCCCTATATTGTACAGCGCTGAGCAAACCCTTTGGCGCTATATAAACTCATGTAATGTAATGTAATGGATAGAATAGACCTATACAATCTCCACAGGATAGGATAGACCTATACAATCTCCATAGGATAGGATAGACCTATACAATCTCCATAGGATAGTTAGACCTATACAATCTCCATAGAATATGACAGCCCTATACAATCTCCATAGGTCAGGACAGCCCTATACAACCTCCATAGGTCAGATCAGCCCTATACAATCTCCCATAGGTCAGGACAGCCATATACAATCTCCATAGGTCAGGACAGCCCTATACAATCTCCATAAATCAGGACAGCTCTATAGAATATCCATAGGTCAGGAACACAGCCCTATACAATCTCCATAGGTCAGGACACCCTATACAATCTCCATAGGTCAGGACAGCCCCCTATACAATCTCCATAGGTCAGGACAGCTCTATACAATATCCATAGGTCAGAACAAAACCTATAAAACCTCCATAAAATAGGACAGGCCTTATACAGTCTCCATAGGATAGGAAAGAACTATACAATTATTATAGGGTAGAATAGACATAGACGATCTCCGCAGGATAGACTTAAGCAATTTCATAGGAATAGGAGAGCCTTTGCAGTCGCCATACTTAAACGTTTTCCCCATGCATTCTCTACATGACAGAACAACTCCATGCATTCTCCATATGATAGAGCAACCCATACAACCCCCCTTGTATATATATCAGCTATACAGTTGCTATAGCATTGGACATTCTTTATAGATTCTCCATAGGATAGCTGCACCTCTACAAATTCTGTAGGATAGGACAACCTCATACAATCTCCATAGGATAGCCCTAATGAAATCAAATACAGACCTATGAAAAGGGTCGTCCCATACATTTTGTAACTGATTGGAGAGCCCCAAACATTCTCCATAGGTTAGGATAAGCCTATATAATCCCCAAAGGATTGGACAGCCCTATACAATCTCCATAGAGTAGCCCCATACATTCTTAGAACATATCATATATGCTTCTCACTCAGTGAAGTAACAAATCCGACTCTCTGTACAGGATATAATCTATTCCTCCGCCCCGTCCAATGCGCACCACTCCCATCAATTGCTTCAGGAAGAGGTGGAGCAATGTATAATTTTCGTCGCTCAGCCTCTGAATCCAGAGTCCTGCAACAGAAACACAGTGAGATTCTATGATGAATACAACTAGTAAAATATTTCACAGATTTCCAATGAGACCCATCTCACCTCTTTACGAGTGGCTGGAGTGTTGATAGCCTCGTGGTAGAGACAGTCCCATCTGAGGAGGGTGCCTGGGACAAACAAGAAGCCATTGTTATAGGTCTCCAGAAGACCCCAACATAAACTTCCAAACACACCAATCTGCGTCACTTGCAATTCACCCCGTATGCAATCATCAAACTCCAAATGCAGCTATTTCAATGCATCCAAACCATCTGTCTTTTGTATGATCATCTAGAAGAAGTCAGGAACTCAACTGTGGGTATAGGATTACAACTTTTTTTTTTTTTCTATGGTTGAACTGGGTGGACTTTTGTCTTTTTTCAGCCAGACTAACCCTTTCTAAATGTGAACATGTGGATTGAAGAGATGGCAGGCAGATAATGCCCTCCTCAGAAAGAGTACCTGATGCAATTCCAGATACGCTCCCATTCCCCTTCTCCCCCTTTATAGTCTTTATACGATAGGATAGCCCAATTCATTCTTTATAAGATAGGATAGCACTGTACAATCTTCACTGGACAGAATAGCCCTATACCAACTGTTATAGGATAGCACTATACATCCGAAATAGGATAGGATAACAGAATACATCCACTATAGGATAGGACAGCCCAATACAATCTCCATAGGATAGGATAGTACTATATAATCTTTACAGGACAGAATAGACCTATATAACCCCCTATACAATTGTCATAGGATAGCACTGTACATCCGCAATAGGATAGGATAGCCCAATACAATCTCTATAAGATAGGATAGCCCAATACAATCTCTACAAGATAGGATAGCCCAATACAATCTCTATAAGATAGGATAGCCCAATACAATCTCTACAAGATAGGATAGCCCAATACAATCTCTACAAGATAGGATAGCCCAATACAATCTCTGTAAGATAGGATAGCCCAATACAATCTCTATAAGATAGGATAGCCCAAAGCAATTTTTATAAGATAGGATAGCCTAATACAATCTCTACAAGATAGGATAGCCCAATACAATCTCTATAAGATAGGATAGCCCTATACCAACTGTTAAAGGATAGGGTAGCACTATATATCTGAAATAGGATAGGATAGCCCTATACAATCTTAATAGGATAGCCCAATACAATCTTCATAGGATAGGATAGCCTATACAATCTTAATAGGATAGCCCAATACAATCTTCATAGGATAGGATAGCCCAATACAATCTTCATAGGATAGGATAACCCAATACAATCTCCATAGGATAGCACTATACAATCTTCACAGGACAGAATAGCCATATATAACCCCCTATACAACCGTCATAGGATAGGATAGCACTGTACATCTGCAATAGAATAGGATAGCCCAATACAATCTCTATAAGATAGGATAGCACTATGCAATCTTCACAGGACAGAATAGCCCTATACCAACATATATACCAATAGGGTAGCACTGTACATCCAATATAGGATAGGATAGCACTGTACATCCACAATAGGATAAACAAGTACAACAGGCATAGGACAGGATAGCCCAATACAATCTCCATGGAATAGGACAGAAGGAAGTTTGCTCAGGGCTCTCCTATCCTACGAAGATTGCATAGTCCTACAAAGATTTCATAGTGCTTTCCTATCCTATGGGGATTTTGATGAGCTATCCTATCTTAAAAATACTATATAGGGGAAGAGGGAGAATAACACCATTCAGGCCCATTGTACCTGGAACTGGATTACATAAATAATCTGAAGCCCAGTGATGTAATCTCTGGCCTGTGAGCTTCTCTATGCACTACAGACCCATTTGGGAGATTTACTAAAATTGGTTCACTCAGAATCTGGTGTAGCTGTACATGGTAGCTAAAGAGCTTCTAACTTCAGCTTGTTCAATTAAGCTTTGACAAAAAAAAAAAAAAAAAAGGAAGCTTGTTGGTTTCTATGCAGAGCTACACCAGATTTTGCACTCTCCAGTTTTAGTAAATAGTAAAAGGTTAAAACATTTTTTTTTACCATTTTGTTTTTTTTTTTCTTTTCATTTTGTTGTTTTCTTTGACAATAAAAAAAAAAGATACCATTGACATTTACCATCAATTTGTTCAGTAAAAAAAAAAAGGTTAAAGAGATATCATTCACCTAGGATGCATCTAGAACTCGCATACCTTGAGGTTCTGTTCACAGCAATGCATTTTTTTAGTGCTTTTTGCAGAAACGCACTACAGTCCATTTAACATGGTTTCCTATGGAACATTCACATCTATGCCTTTTTGAGCTGCTGTATTTTTTGGAAAGGGTCAGGGTCTTTTTTAAAAGAAAAAATCAGCGTTTTTGCTTCATTGGAGTTCAATGGAGAAGCTGCTGAAATGCATGGTAGTGCATTTTTGCCACGTTTTGCATTCCAAAATTCCACTTTAACAAAAAAAAGAGCTGAACAAAACGCAAAATGCGGTAAAAATGCGTCAAAAACGCTTGTAGAAAAATGCAAAATGAACTGCGAAAAGCACTGCAATGGACAAAAAGCAAACTGCATAGCTGTAAACAGAGCCTTAAAATGTGCTGTGACAAAAAAAGGTTGGGAGACCCTGGTGAAGACCATCAGGCTTGTCTCTATACTCACACCACTGCACCTCTTCTGTCCTGGCCAGCACAGTCTCTACACGGATCCTTATATACAGAGAATAGCTGATGTTTCTGCTCCATGCAGTCATCTGAAATGAGAGAAGGAGACAAATGGGCTGTGAATTCCCACACGATCCATGGGGGTTTATTTACTAAAGCTGGAGAGTGCAAAATCAGACTCACTTCTGCATAGAAACCAATCAGCTTCCAGGTTTCATTGCCAAAGCTTCATTGAACAAGCTGAGGTTAGAAGCTGATTGGTTTCTATGCAGAAGGGAGTCTGATTTTGGACTCTCCAGCTTTAGTAAATAAACCCCATGGTGTCAACATTTAGCACATTAAAAAAAGAAAAAAAAAGCTGCAAATGTAAATGGGAATTAGTTGTTTAGTAAGTCACTGATTCCTATAAGCGTAGATATATCAGTTAATTGACAACATACTCTACATGTAATTTTCTTACCTACAAAATGTTTACATTTTTTTCTTAAAGAAAAAAAAGGCTTTTTTTGTTAATCGTTTTAATAAATGGCCTGCCTATTTTTTTTATTTTTATAAGGTAACAAATGGACATACACTATGTTGCCAAAAGTATTGGTCGGCCTGCCTTTACACGCACATGCACTTTAATGGCCCCCCAATCTTAGTCCGTAGGGTAAAATAATGAGCTGGCCCCGCCCTGTGCAGCTATAACAGCTTCAACTCTTCTGGGAAGGCTGTCCACAAGGTTTAGGAGGGTGTCTATGGGAAGGTTTGACCATTCTTTAAGAAGCGCATTTGTGAGGTCAGGCACTGATGTCGGAGAAGGCCTGGTTCATAGTCTCCACTCTAATTCATCCCAAAGGTGTTCTATGGGGTTGAGGTCAGGACTTTGTGCAGGTCAGTCAAGTTCCTCCACCCTAAACTCACTCATTCATGTCTTTATGGACCTTGCTTTGTGCACTAGTGCATAGTCATGTTGGAACAGGAAGGGGCCATCCTCAAACTGTTTCCACAAAGTTGGGAGCATAAATTTGTCTAAAATGTCTTGGTATGCTGATGCGTTAAGAATTCCCTTCATTAGAACAAAGGGGCCAAGCCCAATACCTGAAAAACAACCCCACACCATAATCCTCCCCTCCACCAAACTTTACACTTGGCAAAAATGCAGTCAGGCAAGTACCGTTCTCTTGGCAACTGCCAAATCCAGACACATCCATCGGATTGCCAGATAGAGATGCGTGATTCCTCACTCAAGAGAACACATCTCCATTGTTCTAGAGTCCAATGGTGGCGTGCTTTACAGCACTGCATCCGACGCTTTGCATTGCACTTGGTGGTGTACGGCTTGGATGCAGCTGATCGGCCATGGAAACCTATTCCATGAAGCTCTCTATGCATGTTGTTGTGCTAATCTGAAGGTCACACCAAGTTTGGAGGTCTTTAGCTATTGACTCTGCAGACAGTTGGTGACTGACCCTGCTGTCATTTTATGTTATAATACCACTAACAGTTGCTTGTGGAATATTTAGTAGTAAGGAAATTTCATGGATGGACTTATTGCACAGGTGACAACCTATCACGGGACCACGCTTGAATTCACTGAGAGCGACCCATTCTTTCACAAATGTTTGTAGCAGTCTACATGCATAGGTGCTTTGATTTTATATACCTGTGACCATGGAGGTGATTGGAACACCTGAATCCAATGATTTGAGGGGGTGTCCCAATACTTTTGGTAATATAGTGTATGTGAAAAAGTAGTATTTTTTGTACTCAAATCCTTTTCTCTGAGTTCATTGAAGGACAGTGAAGATCTTGATCTCTGGCCACTGAGTTATGATGCCACGTTCAGGAGTAGGACACTAGGTACAAAAACAGAAACACAGCCTAGGGACAGCCCCTGATGGTGGCCAAAGCTCCCAACCATAAGAGGCAGCTCAGTGAAACACAAAGCACTGCATACAGCCACAATTGGTCGCAGACAAAGAACAACTATCTCCTAAAAAATGACAGCAAACGAATATGGAAACTCCCTAACCAAGCAATTGTCAGCTCTACAGGAAAATGACCCAGAAGGTCCATAGGCCTCCTGCTAACTAGCACGAGAGAGGTTAGAGAAAAACCTGAAGCAAGACAGTGAGATAAACAAGGCACAACCTGACCCACCAGAAAAATAAAGTTCTCTTCCGAGAAACTAGACAGAAAGCGAAGGAACCAGTCCCGATTGAGGTAGAAGACCAAAAACATGTAGGGAAGAAATGAGGCATAGGTCTCCACATCACTCTATTCCCACATAGGCCCAGGAGAAAGCAGGCAGTACAAAATTGCCAGCCAAGAAGACACACCCCACAAAAGCAATGGAAACAAGGAATCAGTATGAAAGGAAGGTAAAAACTGCTGTCTGCATACTAGGGGCAACATGATGTCCATATGCTTGGTGGTTCCTCCTAATCAGATGACCCAGCCATCAAGAGCATGAAACTCACCAAGGCCCAGAGACTTCAGACTAAAAAGCTAGATCTGACCCCCTGCAAGCAAGTCAGTGATTCTGAGTACAAATATACATCAAACATGGGCCTGGAGAGCTAGATGGTTAGGAAGAGCTTATGAACATCTGTCAGGAGCCTTAACAGGACAGAAACCACAACTGTCCAAGCCAAGCATCTGGAAATGGAGATATGAATGAGAAGGCCCTATGTCATGACCCACAGAGCAGGTGAGGTGGAAGACGAGGGTGGAAGGATGTAGACCAAGCAGAATCAATCCTGCAGAGCAACCATTGATATCACTCAAAGATACCCATACCAAAAACAACTTGTCAAGTAAGTTTTGAACCAGGGGGCCCTACCGGCGGCCCCCACCATGACAAAGATATAGGAAAGAACCCCCAGGATCCAGGCACAGCCAGCTCAGAAAGGCAGCCAGACAAAACCAAAGCCCAAGCTTGGAAATTAAAACAGCAATAGGGCTGGAGCATGCAATTCAGGTCAGAACAAGAAAGAGAAGCCTGCCACTGCCGGGATACAGTCAGAGAGAATCTAAGGCAGAGGACCATCAATAGTTCAAAGTTGTAGGAACAACCATTCCCGATACCTAGAGATAGTACACAGGCAAGGAGTGTCCTCTCACAGCTAAGTATCCTATCTGATAAGATAACCAGGCTGGTATTCATTATGAAGATTGTCAAGACACAGGAAGAAGGACCCCTGAATGGAACTCCAGAGTCACTAGGCCAATGGAAATCTGACCTAAGAGAAACAAGGAGGTCCACAAGAGAACTGGAAGACTCTTCTAAGCAAGACCAAAGGCAAAAAAAAAAAAGTATTTGGGTGGACTGTGTACAGAGAACCTCCATGAATGAAGGCTACCACAGCCAAAAAAAGACCCAAGCCAAAATAAATGGTGGATGACTTCAGTAGTGGAGAGTCGAAAAACTTTTCTGGAAATAAAGGATCTCCATCTACAGCAGTATCTGGGAAGATCCAGAAAAGAAAAAAAACAAAGAAAATGAACCAAATACGGATGTAAGAAACTGTAGGTATAGCCAAACCTCAGCTAGATGGAATATATCCCCAGCTGCAGCTAGTACCAGCACTAACTGCCCTGACCACTGAAGGTTGTCAAAGACCACACAAAGGATTGTCTCAAGATTTCAGTAGGGCTTGGAGGGAAAAGCACTTATGAACACCCAGGACAAATGAAATAGGCCAACTGGAAGAATACTAACAGAAATCAGCAAGCCCAAGGCTTTCCTGATGGAAAAAAGGCTAATAAAGATCCAGGGAATTCAACAAGGAACCAGGGCCTTAATACGAAGAATAGGTTGGACCCCTAAATGTTAAGTGAGAATGGTTTGGGAACAAACAACTGATCCACCACAAGAATTGGGGTGAAAGAAAAACCCCAATATTCAAAGGCTCATGAGGGCCAGAGGCAGCCCTGCTATACAGGAAAAAGTGGGGTAGGACTGTAGGCTGACAAAAAGATGGACAAAATGGGGATTCCAGCTCATAGCCACACAGAACTACCTTCTCAGGCCAGAAGACACTATGGTAGCTGCTCAAGGTCTGCAAGGGCAACAGATGCCACCCTCAAAGAAGCACACAGTGTTACCCATGATGGATATCCAGCAAAAATTACAGTACGGAGCCACTTATATAGGGGGGTAAAGTGGGCACAACCCGCAATAAGCAGTCTCTCACCACATCACTTCCATTCCCAGGAAATACACAGAAAATGGGCGAAATGACAATGGGAAAAAAGGCCTGTCATCTGGCACTGCTCCAGTAGGCCACAAAGCCGAGGCCTACATTATTGGATAGGCTAACTGTGTGGTGCGTGCACGTGTGGGAGAGCTCTACGGAACACCAGCCAGGTGAGGTAGGCATTTTGCAAGGTGTGACATAAATTGCACAACCCGCAATAAGCAGTCTCTCACCACATCACTTCCATTCCCAGGAAATACACAGAAAATGGGCGAAATGACAATGGGAAAAAAGGCCTGTCATCTGGCACTGCTCCAGTAGGCCACAAAGCCGAGGCCTACATTATTGGATAGGCTAACTGTGTGGTGCGTGCACGTGTGGGAGAGCTCTACGGAACACCAGCCAGGTGAGGTAGGCATTTTGCAAGGTGTGACATCATCATCCAGCGCCGGCCCAATGACAGCACTGCCCATTTAGAACATGGGTGTTAACCCTTGATGCAGCACTTAACAGTATATCATAAGTGTGCGCAGCCTATTGCATTAGGGTGTGCACCCCAAAGCTCATACACACGTGCGTGTGTTTGTGTGTGTGTATATATATATATATATATATACACACACATATGCACACACTATATTGCCAAAAGTATTGGGCCAGTCCTCCAAATCATTGGATTCAGGTGTTCCAATCACCTCCATGGCTACAGGTGAATAAAATCAAGCACCTAAGCATGGAGACCGCTTCTACAAACATTTGTGAAAGAATGGGTCGCTCTCAGGAGCTCAGTGACTCCAAGCGTGGTCCCGTGATAGGTTGCCACCTGTGCAATAAGTCCATCCGTGACATTTCCTGGCTACTAAATATTCCATGGTCAACTGTTAGTGGGATTATAACAAAGTGGAAGCAACTGGGAACAACAGCAACTCAGCCACGAGGTGGTAGGCCATGTAAAATGACAGATCGGGGTCAACGCATGCTGAATTGCACAGTGCGCAGAAGTCGCCAACCGTCTGCAGAGTCAATAGCTAAATACCTCCAAACATGGTGTGGCCTTCAGATTAGCACAACAACAGTGCGTAGAGAGCTTCATGGAATGGGTTTCCATGGCCGAGCAGCTGCATCCCAGCCTTATATCACCACGTGCAATGCAAAGTGGTGTAAAGCACGCCGCCACTGGACTCTAGAGCAGTGGAGACATGTTCTCTGGAGTGACCAGTCACGTTTCTCTGTATGGCAATCCAATGGACAAGTCTGGATTTGACAGATGCCAGTACTTGCCGGACTGCATTGTGCCAAGTGTAAAGTTTGGAGGAAGGGGGAATATGGTGTGGGGTTGTTTTTCAGGAGTTGGGCTTGGGCCCTTAGTTCCAGCGAAGGGAACTCTTAAGGTGTCAGCATAACAAGACATTTTGGACAATTTCATGCTCTCGTCAGACTTCAGTGCCTGACCTCACAAAATGCGCTTCTGGAAGAATGGTCAAACCTTCCCATAGACACCCTCCTAAACCTTGTGGACGGCCTTCCCAGAAGAGCTGAAGCTGTTCTATCTGCAACTCAATAATGCACGGCGGCCCAATACTTTTGGCAATATAGTGTGTGTGTATATATACAATATATATATATATATATATATATATATATATATGCATATACATATATACACATGGTCAGTGGGAGATTTTGCTAATGTGCACAAGGTGATTAGGGTGTGCCCAGATGCATCTGGCACACCCCCTGCGCATGCCTTTGCAGTATATGTATATGAAGTTTGACTGTTTTACATTGTGTTCCTAGAGGAAAAGAGAACCCAAGGAAAGTATAAAGACCACAGTGGTAAGAACTTCTGCATTGCAGCACTGGGGTCTTTGGTTTGAATCCTCATCAGAATACTATCTGCATTAAGTTTGCAAGTTTTTCCTGTGCATGTGTGGGTTTCCTCCAGATATTCTAGTTTCCTCCCTCCAAGACATGCTGGTAGGTTCATAGGCTCCTGTTTAAGTTTCCCCTAGTATGTGTATGCCTGTGAAACCTTAGACTGCAAGCTCCTTGAGGGCAGTGACCGTTTTAAATGTTCAGCATGTAAAGCATTGCATAAATTAATGGAGCTATATAAATGCCCCTAATAAAAATACTATAATGATGAGATTAAAGAGGACCTTCATTTTCCCTCTCTATTTTCCCCTCTTATCTCTATAGCTAAGATCTGCATAAAAAATGTACTCAAGCCACAACAATCCAGTGGTGTTCTCTAGGGATCCACCACTCTGCACCTGGTCCCGCCACCCCCCCAGATGATGTGCAAGTGGTACCTTGGCATGGGGCCGGTTGCAAAACTCAGGAAGAGACAGCTATCTCCCTGATGATGTGCTGTGTTGCACGCCAGTAGAACACCCTGCAGCTTTCTGGGATGCATGACATGGTTTTTCCAGGAGGCTGCTTCCTGATTTCTTTCTGAGCATGATGTATTCATTGTCCGCAGACTCCTGGGATACCTGCGTCTCCATATTCCAGGAGGCTTTGGGCAACTGATACATCATTCTTGCCTGTGGCAAAAACAATCAAGTACTGTCTGTGATACTTACTTTTTTTGCATTAATGTCCAAATTTTCAGGACAGATTTTTGGGGCATTTTCCCTTTTTCAAGGTCAGAACAGTACTCATTGGGACCATGAAGAAGTGGGTATTTAATGATTTCATTGATTATGTGAGAGGAGAGGGGTAGGAAGGGATTGAAAGAACTTGGGTGAGGAAGGTGAAGTTCATCTTTAATCCTCTGAATAAAAACATTTTGACAAAACCATTTTATACCATCATAATAATGATGAAGATACGTACAAACAGACGCTCTTATCTATGTAGAAACCACTTATATAGCAATGTATACAAATAGGCACAAGTTCAGAGATCAGCGCTACTAAATTTCAGTTGTCATTTACCCGTGGAACAATTGTCAAAGTTCAAGTCTCCACAAAGGACGTCAAATGCAACCAGATCTCCATCTTCACCGTATTGTGACTGGAAGTCCAAAACCCATCGCAGGAGCAGAGACATCTGATCACAGCGGATGACTGCATCACCTAAATACAGAGAAGTTTGATTGGTGTGGGTTATTTGTGCACACATGGACACCTGATCACAACAGACACTGGAACCCTTACAGCTGAAGATTATTCTGCCTATATTTTACTTTGCCTGGTTCCAGGGATCCATCCAGCAGCCTGATTGACACATGGCTGAGAACCAGCTGTGCCCACCCCCTCCCCAGCCTGTCACTCCAGTGCATAGCAGGGAGAAGAAACAAAGAGATTGTCACCTCTGTACAAAGCTATGTGTTGCTTGTCAACACAGGACTCTTGGCTGTGATTGGTCGCAGCCAATCAGCAGGTCCTGCCCATGAATAGACACGGGGGCGTGTGCCCTGAACCCAGAAGAAGGCAGCAAGGTACCGAATAAAGTATATATTCTGAACTTCCCAAACAAAAATCAATCCACCAGTCCAGAAACACCTATATCATGGGTCGGAAACACACACCAAAGAAGTTATTTCACAACACCTCCAATAAATCTAAATAATGTCAATCAGTTCAGCACTACTCGAAAATAAGAAATATCTCACTCTCTTATAACTTTACAATATTAATGAGTGAGCAATAAATATTCTCAGTAAACATGTGATCTTAAAACAAACAAATATAATAAATAAGTCTTTAGAGAAGTAGGATGCAACAGATAGAAGGATTGGCATTGTGTACAATTCTTGGTTTAAGATCACATGTATATTGCTAATATTTATCGTTCACTTGTGAATATTGGAAAGACTTTGGCACTGGTGACAAGACTGGTGTGGATCTCCTATCTGTTGGATTCTATTTCATGAAGGACTTGTTTATTATATTCCCTTTTCACTGATTGTTAATGTGTTTAATTCTTTGCTTGAAGATCACGTTTATTGCTAATATGTATTGCTTACTCGTTAATATTGGAAAGTTATAGGGAAGAGTGATAGTTCTTTTTTTTGTTGCACTATTTGACATTATTTAGACATATTCTGAACTCAAATTTATTGCACTCATCCTCCTCCAAATTCCTTTTTTTTTGCTGCTGTAGTCTGACTTCCTTTTAGAGGGTGGTTTTGTTCATCCTCCGTGGTCCCATTGTATGCAGGAACATAGCCACCTCTCGCTTGCTCGCTCCTGAGTAGGATTATGGACTATAGGACTTGTAGTTTGTATAGAGCAGAGTACATGACCGCAACCAATGTGTTCCAAACAAATAGAAGTGAGGGGAAAAGGAGAGGTTCAAGAGGTCATGGAGAACATTACAAGAAGGCAAAAACAAAGTAAAAACACAGTAAGAGAAATAGATTACAGGGCCATTACATAGTGGATTTGTATGGATTATATTTGGAGAATACTGATATTATTTAGTGTCTTTTCCATTTGTGAATATCCCCCCAGCCTTGATTTTTCAGTGTATAATGAGCCACCAACTGGATTATCTCGAATCAACTTACTCTCTGGGGCATGTAAATGCGTACAATTTATATATCCCACAATTTTTTGCTTCTGCTTCGTCATTCCAATGTGGACCTGTATAGAAAAAGGATTCAAAAATTGGAGATTAGAAGTGAATATCCCCTCGGTGTACCTCAGAGAGAACTGGTGGTCAGTGCGGCATTTCCTTACAATGGTGGTTAGTTTGGTGTTCCCTAACATTCCCAGACAGTGTAGTACTCCCTGACATTGTAGTCAGTGTAGCTTCTCATTTTCCTGGTGGTCAGTGTGATCTCCTTTTGCTCTGGTGGTCAGTGTATTGCTTCCTTACATTGGTGGTCTGTTTGGTCCCCTTACATTGGTGTTCATTGTAGCAACCCCTTCCCCTGGTAGTCAGTTTGGTCCCCTTACATTGATGGTCAGCATAATGTCCTCTTACATTGTTAGCCAGCATAGTATCCTCTTACATTGATGGTCAGTGTGGTGGCTCCTTAGATTGGTGGTTGCTGTAGCGTTTCTTTAGATTGGCTGTCAGCATAGTGTCTCCTTACATTGGCTGTCAGTGTAATGTCTTCATACAATGGTGGTCAGAGTAGTGTCTACTTAAAATGGTGGTGGGTGTATTATCTCCTTACAGTGGTGGTTGGTGTACTGTCTCTTTACAATGGTGATCTGTAGTGTCTACTTACAATGGTGATCAGTGTAGTGTCTACTTACAATGGTGATCAGTGTAGTGTCTACTTACAATGGTGATCAGTGTAGTGTCTACTTACAATGGTGATCAGTGTAGTGTCTACTTACAATGGTGGTCAGTGTACTGTCAACTCACATTGTAAATTTTTATTTTATTTATTTCAGGTACTTATACATTGGGGGTCAAATAATTATCTTCATGTGTGGGTGGTCAGTGTAGTGTTTCATTACACTGGTGGTCTATGCTAGTGTTAAATCACATTGGTTGCTTGTGTAGTGCTCCCTACATTGGTGGTCATTTTGGTGACCCCTTACATTTCTTTACAATGGTGGTCAGTTTGGTGTCCCCTAACATTTCCAGTCAGTGTAGTACTCTCTTACATTGGTGGTCAGTGTACCTTCTCAATTCACTGATGGTCAGTGTAGTGTCTCTGTATATTAGTGGTCATTGTGATGTACCATTTTGCTGGTGGCCAGTGTGGTACCAATGTATTGGTGGTCAGATCAGCTCCCTTACATTAGTGGTCACTGTAGTGCCCACTTACACTGGTTGTCATATTGGTCCCCTTACATTTATGGTCAGCGTAGTCCCTCCTTAACATTGGTTATCAGTGTAATATCCCCTTACATTGGTGGTCAGTGTTGGGCCCTCTTACAGTGGTGGTTGGGCACTGTAGTGACGCCTTACAATGGTGATCAGTGTAGCGTCCCCTTATACTGGTGGTCAGTGTAGCGATCCCTCATACTGGTTCTCAGTGTAGCGATCCCTTATATTGGTAGTCAGTGTAGTGGCCTCTAAAATTGATGGCTATGTAGCAGATGATTATTCTGCTCTCTGCTTAAGAAACCCCAAACTCAGGGAGAACCCTAAGGTTTCACAGAACCCTTGCTGAGACAGGTTGTTCTGGAATATAGAGTGTAAGAGGTTGACAAACTGAGTACTTACAAATTATAAATAAATGAGGATAATTTGGGAAAATGTGTTTATCTTGCATTGAAGTACACACTACGATGAAAATATCCCAAGTTAAATAGAAAAAATACCAAAAGAGCAAAAGCAAGTTACCTCACCAAGCTATATATCTCTGATTATAGAGCTATTATATGTGGACTGTAGGAGGCCTCAAAACTCTAAGAACACATTATCTGTTCAAACAATATTTCACTTGACTTGAAACACTTCATTCCATTTTAGGTTCTATGATATCAGTTTACCTTGACACAGAGAAGACCTTTGGAAGCCAAGGCGTCCTCCCCACGTGCATTCGGGTAGAAATAATACTTGGCTGCCATGAACGGGTGCCGACTAGCCAGGAATAATCCACTATTGAAAAACCTAAAACCACAGCCATGAGGTCCTGAGGGCCCAACATCATACAAAATGTGAGGAAAGGTTGGCCCAAGGCAGCGGCGTAGTTTGCGTGAAGCTCGTCCATCGAACACTTCCTGCAGGCACACAAAGTCAGCATTTTGAGGGAAGACGAGGGACACTTCGAATGGCACATCTCCTTCTGTGCTGGAGTCTCTCTCTGTTTTGTAAGGTATCTCGATCATCGGCAGGACATCTTCTGTGCTACACATTGGCACCGTGTCTTCACAGTTATTCTTGGCAGGCTCCGATGAGCTACACAGGAGTTGGGAAATGGCAGCACTGCGACGTTGTGTGTGGTGCAGGTTACTGAAGCGTGCCAAGCCATCGGGCAGAAGGCAGAGGTTGGCACTGATAAAGATGAAGGAACATTCACCACTCAGTATCCTCTCTGGGAGATCTGGAGTCTTTACAGAGTTCTGATAAGAGAAGGGACGGCGAAGCCTCTGCAAGGGAGCCCAAATTAGGAAACCAAAAAAACCTAGTGGCAGAGAAAGAATGAAGAGAAGCAAGAACAACGGGACCCCAAGGAGCAAGCAGAGGAACCTCAAGCCAGGGCGGTGGTAGCGCTCTATAGTGGTGAAAACCGCACAGGACAAAAGACGATCAATAAACCAGTAAGAAGGGAAAAGCAGAGCTGAACTCAGAGAGAAAAGGAAATGAAGACAAAGGCAACTGAACGGGGACTCAGGCAGAGACATCTAGACTACATGAAGCTTTCCTAGAAAAGTAAGACACAGAGAAGGGGGGAAAAACACATAGGAAACCATTAACATTGGTCAGCATCTCCACATTAATTAAAGTTATGATTAAAGCAGAACTAAAGGCAAAACTTTTTTTTCCATTTTGGGTTGAGTAAGGGAAGGTTATAATGCCTGTCAGTTCTTCCATTTAACATCTGTTTTCCATGGGGAAATTTCCCTTTAATCCCATACAGATGCCAACAGGAAGTGAGAAAAATGTGTAGAAAATCCCTGGTTGTCACGAGAACTAATGTCCCCATTGAAAGATTTGCCTTCTATTACAGTTCTGGTGACAATTCAAATTTTGGGATTTTCTTTCACGTTCACTCTCAGTGATAACAGTAACAAGGACAAAATAGATGGTGATATGGACAACCATAAAAACCTGGTTTTCTTAGCTAAATATACCCCTAACTATTCTTCAGCATGCCGCAGAGGTTGCGTAGACCCGGGCACTTTCTTCCATACATGGTGGGAGTGCCCAACCGTCAGGATCTTCTGGACGGAAATATTCAAAATGCTCTCCTTATTAAGTACGAAAAACCTCCATCCTAACCCGCTAACAGCGTTACTTAACCTACGACCACCCGAAGTCACAAAACTACAATTTAAGCTTCTATTACAGGTTACTACAGCTGCCAAACAGGTCATTGCCAAATCATGGAAGTCTACGTCGCTTAACATTACTGCGGTCCGAAACAAAGTAACCCAGGCGATGATCCATGCTAAAGTAGAAGCCACAATCTTGAATACTATCCCCAAATTTAGGATGATTTAGGACCCATGGGTAGAACACTTTCTACCTTCTAACTTTGATGAAACTCTTCTCACCCCATAACCAACACTCCTAACTATTCTGGTACCCTCCCCTTTACTCTTACAGCTCCCCTCTCTTTCCTTTTTTCTCTTCACTTGTGGAGTCGCATACCTTTCCCCCGTCTTCTCCCCCCTTCACATTCCCCGCCTAATATTGTTCATCAGTTCTTACCTGTTACCGTTCTGAGGTTTACGGGTAATACTGCATTCCCAAGAAAATTCACTGTATAAGTATTGTATACTTTATTTGTTTTATCTATGTTACCCCTCCCTATGAACAAAATAAAAAAAATTTAACAAAAAAACCTGGTTTTCTAACTCTTTTCCTCTCTATCCACCACACTTGTGGTAGTTTTCACCATCCTAAAAGTAATCTAGGGTGGAATGCTTTTCGGAGGAAAGTATACAGGCAACTGGGAGGTGATAGGTTGCCTCTTTTAATCCTCAAAAGACCAGAGCAGCTCTCCGCAACCATGTGCACTACACACGGTTGCAATGTGGTCTCACTTTAATGGGTGACATTTAGCGATGATATTCAACATGGGTATACATTTTGAGGCAGTCTCCTCCAACTGTAATGCGATGTTAAGGTGGGCAAGTGGGGGTGTGTGTGTGATAAAATGATGGTTTAACTCGCAAGTTTTACCACCTCCCAACTGCAAGCACAAATAAGCCCATGGTTCCTTTAAAGTGCAAGTTTACTTTTTCAGAAAAAAAATATGAATATGAACTAACACCTTACACCCTCCCCACCCCCTTCAAGGTCCCCTCTGTACTTATCTCCGTGGGTGAAGAGCTGTCAGTGCACACGCAGCCTATGTTGAAGTCTGGGGTTTGAAATCCACGCTCTTCTCTCTCTTCCTTCTGCATCACTTTTTGGGATGGATCAGAGCAATTCTGATTGGTCAGTGGCAGCATACAGCACCGCTCTAATTGGTCCTAGAAGCACTGCAGAGAGAAGAGGAAGAACAACAGCCCAGTTTTCCAATCTTTGGACCACTGGACAGCTGTGTGGGCACTGACTGTCACCCACGGAGATAAGTACAGCAGGGAGGGGAGGTGTTGAGGGCTTACAGTGTTAATTTACCTTTTAATTTTTTTCTGAAATGATGAACTTACACTTCAATGACTTGTTCACACCATATTAGTTGTGCTACAATGATCTGCGTAGATCATCTACTTCATCTTGTTCATACCATAATGCTGCAGTGAGGTGCACTGCATAAAAACATCTGCAACTCACCACATTGCATGTCATCGCGCCACACAGCAATAGTCTGCAGTGCCTAGAGTTAAATTAAGTGTCATTTTTTTTTGATACTTCAGTAAAGAGGACAGAAAAAAAAAAATGTACAATGCATTGTAACAAAGCATAGAACTTCCCTTACACATCACATTCCAATGTGCATGTGTTTTTTTTAGTGTGTGTGCTGGTGTGAACGAGCCCTAAGGCTTGGCCTGGATATGGGCAATGGCTTTTCAAGCTGAAACCATGCTGAAAATGACAAATGGTTTTCACAATTTATTGCAAACAATCATGTGAAAAGTGTTATATAATTAGTCTGGTTGAAAAAAGACAAAGGTCCATCCAGTTCAACCATTAAAAAAAAAAAAAAAGTTATAATCCTATACCCTTATGTATTATACATGGTGATCATATCCCCCCTTATGTATTATACATGGAGATCATATCCCCCCTTATGTATTATACATGGAGATCATATCCCCCTTATGTATTATACATGGTGATCATGTCCCCCCTTATGTATTATACATGGTGATCATATCCCCCCTTATGTATTATACATGGAGATCATATCCCCCCTTATGTATTATACATGGTGATCATATCCCCCCTTATGTATTATACATGGAGATCATATCCCCCCTTATGTATTATACATGGAGATCATATCCCCCCTTATGTATTATACATGGAGATCATATCCCCCTTATGTATTATACATGGTGATCATATCCCCCTTATGTATTATACATGGAGATCATATCCCCCCTTATGTATTATACATGGTGATCATATCCCCCCTTATGTATTATACATGGAGATCATATCCCCCCTTATGTATTATACATGGAGATCATATCCCCCCTTATGTATTATACATGGAGATCATATCCCCCCTTATGTATTATACATGGAGATCATATCCCCCTTATGTATTATACATGGTGATCATATCCCCCTTATGTATTATACATGGAGATCATATCCCCCCTTATGTATTATACATGGAGATCATATCCCCCTTATGTATTATACATGGAGATCATATCCCCCTTACGTATTATACATGGAGATCATATCCCCCTTATGTATTATACATGGAAATCATATCCCCCCTTATGTATTATACATGGAGATCATATCCCCCCTTATGTATTATACATGAAGATCATATCCCCCCTTATGTATTATACATGGAGATCATATCCCCCTTATGTATTATACATGGTGATCATATCCCCCCTTATGTATTATACATGGTGATTATACCCCCCCCCCCTTATGTGTTATACATGGAGATCATATCCCCCCTTATGTATTATACATGGAGATCATATGCCCCCCTTATGTATTATACATGGAGATCATATCCCCCCTTAATCTCCTCTTCTCAAGAGAGAATACATTCAGTTCCTCTAATCTTTTCCTCATAGATGATCTCCTCCATGCCTCTTATCAGTTTGTTTGCCCTTCTCTGTACTTTCTCCAGTTCCCCAATGTTCTTTTTGTGAATTGGTGCCCAAAACTAACCTGCATATTCCAGATGAGGTCTTACTAATGATTTGTACTGGGGTAATATGATATCTCTCTCTGGAGTCTATACCTTTTTTAATACAAGAGAGGATGTTAATCGCTTTAGTATCCGCAGCTTGGCATTGCTGCCATTATTAAGCTTGTGATCTACCAGAACCCCCAGATCCTTCTCCACCATTGATTCCCCCAGGTGTACCCCCCTAGTATGTATGATGCATATTCTTAGCCCCCAAGTGCAGAACCTTACATTTATCAACATTAAACCTCATTGGCCCCATAGTCCCCCAATTAAACAGAGCATTGAGGATGGCCTGTAAATTGGAGACATCCTGTAAGGACGTTAGTCCATGGCACAGCTTGGTGTCATCTGCAAAGACTGAAATGGGATTTATAATCTCAGACCCTATATTGTTTATAAATATATTAAAAAGTAAGGGTCCCAACACTGAACCCTGGGGTACCCCACTGATGACCCCAGACCAGAGTATGAATCATTAACCACTTCTCTTTGAATACGATCTTTTAGCCAGTTTTCTATCCATTTACATACAGATTTTTCCAGCCTGTAGACTTTACCTTATACATTAGCCGTGTGTGGGGAACTGTGCCAAACACTTTTGCAAAATCCAAGTGTGGTGTATATTTGTATTCAGCCCCCCCCCCCCCCCGAGTCAATACTTTGTAGGACCACCTTTTGCTACAGTTCCAGCTGCAAGTCTTTTTGGGACGTCTCTCCCAGCTTTGCACATCTAGAGAGAAATGTTTGCCCATTATTCTTTGCAGAAAAGCTCTGTCAGATTGGATGGAAAGCGTCTGGGAACAGCAATTTTCAAGCCTTGCCACAGATTCTCAGTTGGATTTCAGTCTGGACCAGGGGCGGACTGACCATTTGGAAACTCGGGCACTGCCCGAGGGCCCGGGGTCAGTATGGGGCCCCATGAGATGCCCCTGGTACCGTTTTTCATAGGTTTTTTTGAGTTTGGGCAAAGACACAGGGGCCCCATGATCCCCTATTGCCCGGGGGCCCCATAGGTTGTCAGTCCGCCCCTGGTCTGGACTGTGACTGGGGTATTCTAACACATGAATATGCTTCGATCTAAACCATTCCATTGTAGCTCTGGCGGGATGTTTCGGGTCGTTGTCTTGCTGGAAGGTGAACCTCCGCCCCATTCTCAAGTCATTTGCAGACTAACAGGTTTTCTTCTAAGATTGCCCTGTATTTGGCTCCAACATTTATGTTTTTGGTTGTAACATGACAAAATGTGGAACATTTCAAGGGGTATAAATACTTTTTCAAGGCACTGCTCATACCTAATTCCCTGCGCCTCCACTGGAGGGTGCTGAGGGAGAGACTACTGCCGGA